GACAAAAGATATAATTTATTGCACTGAGTTCCTGTTTCAATTATCATGTCATCTCGCGTATCGTTTTTTTACGACCATAATAACCAGTTTCGGTCAATACGAAAGTAGAAACCCTGGAAATGACAGGAAAATCAGGAAGAACTTGGAACTCGAGTAAAATTGCATACCCTGTTTATGACAAGAAGCTTGAAAAACCATACCCTGTTCAGCGGATCATCCCCGTATAGACCATATATGGGAGTACCCCCCCCCCCCCCGGGTCCTAACAATCCTCTCATGTTCTGCCAATCCCCAAGTGCTTTATAACTCCATGCAGCACAGCAAGCAAGTTTTTTATTTCTTTTATGAAATGCAAAGGAAGCATACGTGCAATCAGGATGCGAGATTAATAACAGTTATTTTATAAATTTACTTATAAAATACAAAATTGATAGCCATGTTTGTAGAGGTTCCCAATATTTATTTWTTTATTCACATTTTTTTATTTTACATCTTTGATAATTAAAATTACCAATACATTCATTTTACATCTTTAAAAAATACAACATTTATTTTATGTTATTGGTCTTCCTGTGTTCTATACACCACAGGAATCCCAACCAAGGTGTTGACCCAGGATTTCCAAAAGTTCCATACATCAGTTKTCATATTATGCTAAGGACTCAATCAAGAATGCAAAGTAGTTTTAAATTTGAACCTTGTAGCCTTGAATGGATGCTTTGTGTTTGACTGTTGAACCAGATTGGTGCATTTTATACATTTTTCTCATTTTATTTGATTTACTAATAGGTTAAATTGAATGAATTGATATATGTGTGTTACAAATTAAAATTTTTTTTCAGATTATTTAATTTATGGTCTCTTTTAACAGATTAGAAATCAGCTAGTGATCCAACACAAAGTACGCCAATGGACTGAAAATTTAATAACAGATATATAAATACCAAAAAGATATTAGACCCCTATATTGCTGTCTTTGTTTTTTCAACCAGTGATTGACAAACCTGTGGCCCTCGTTTCATGATCAAGTTAGAATTTAGGAGCTGATTTTTGTGGAGGTAGAAAAACCCTGAGAAAACCTTAAAAGCACAGGAGAGAACCAATKAGCCACTSTACTCACATACRACACCRAGCYMRGGGGAACTCGAAYDTGGGTCACATTGATGAGTGGCAAGCGATCTCAGCACTATGTCATCCATGCATCCTGATTGCAAGGACGTTCTGTAGAGAAAGACCATCAACGGTGGTGTGGTTTGGCTCACCTTTGTCCTCTGAGGTCTCTGGTTCCTGGTCTCGGCATGATATATCTGTCAGTCATATAATTTGTTAGGTGCCTTTTTTCATTCAAGGTTTTTCTCCCTCCAAAAAATCCAGTTTATTTCCAATTTGATCAATCTGTCACAGAGCTAGCCTTAATCAGCCCAGAGGTTGTTTCAGGCAGAGTTAATATTAACTCTATTAACTCTGTTTCAGGGTATCAATAAAATTTGAAGGTTTTTTTTWAAACATTTTAGTACATTTTCAAGAGCTTYGTATTTATACTTATTTAGATTCTATTTTCAATAGTCAATGTATCTTAGTAATATAGATATCTATAAAAGGAGTTTGTTTTAAGAAAATTCCCAAATCTCATTCATTTTTTATATACGCCGTTAATTAAACATGTCAGATATTTCAATTTAATGATATTTATGGATAATGCTTTACGAATATAATTTTTTAATTCTAATTGCTAGAGTTTGAAAATTATCCTAGAGGTACAAAATAAGCTTAAAGATATCAAACTATATATTTTGGAATTGAATCGGTCTTCTAGGAGAACTTTCATATGAAAATGCAATGTAAAATCTGTGTTGACATACAACAAATGCTCTCTAATTATAATAATTGTGTTATATTGTCATTACAAACACCTGGCCTATTGTGTAAAAGTTCCTAGGAAAAAAAATTAAATCACCCAGCATGATGTATTCTTAACAGACGTAATTAGCCTGTGGTTTTGACAATAGGAAAAATCAAGATTCAGAAATAATGAAAAGAATTAGATCTGAATGGAAGAGATTAAATTAATATTCAAATCCTATCATACAAATTTATTGTTACAGAAGAACATAATTATCTAAAAAATCACAGATAAATCAAGGAAGAGGAAAATCATTAACTCAGTTAGTGCATTGTGACTAAAAGCAAATGAAAAGTAAAATAAAATGAAATTTAAAACGAAAATGAAATGAGAAAATATCATATATCATAATTTAAATTTATAATCTAATATAAGATAAAGTTTATCTTTATATTTTGAATTTATGATCACAAGTAAAGAGCAAAATATAGCAAGGAAATTGAAAATTACTATAGAAATACTTACAGAATTTTCTTTACTGATAATGAATCAAGTGGAAATCTCGCTTGTATTCAGTCTTGCCAGGTTGTATTTCGACACTGAACATCGTATCGGTCAAATAATCTCCAAGACGAACCCATTCTTGTGAGTTTGGAGCTGGAGTCCATCCGACGGTAAGGACTGCTGAAACGCTAAAGAAAGGSCCACAGTTCGTAGGTCTTGGACATTCTATGGTGTACTCAATCGGGTATCCTTTTCTGTAGGAAGAAAGATCGACTAGCGTTTGTCCAAGGATGACACTTGGGGCATCTGCAATGCTTACATCTTCAAATTTCACCTTGAACTGTGAATTGGGAGGGAAAGAGGCTGGCGAATCGTCTGGGAGAGAGATCTTTCCTGAGATCTTAATACTCATCTTTGCAAGTGTTTTACAAGCGGAAGAAGTGTTGCTTTAGTAGGTGGTCTAAAGCTGTTTAAGAATTTTTTATAGCACTTTTACTTTCTCCACCCTATTGTTTATAGTGACGATCTGATTGTTCTTTTGATGTGCATTGTGGGAGCCTTTCCAGCTTGCCTTGACAATATGTAATAAATTAAAAATATCGACTATTTAAATTATCATTTTTCATCCAATAACTACAATACAAATATTCTTAATTTGTTAAAATCATTTTAAGACGCAGAAAAAATATCTAAGTTGTTGCTAAGAGATCGATTGCTGTAGGATAATAATTAGGGCTCCCTGTGGTTAGGTATTTTTTCGATCGGAATTATTTTATTTTATTTTTTCTCCCTTACAAAGAGTTAAATCAAGAATTATCATTATGAGTAAAGATATTAAGATGAGCTTAAAATCTGTACAAAAAAATATAGGACATTAAACGATTTTTCGTAAAATTTCCCAATAGATAGTAAAATACATCTAAGAAAGAACAACAAAGTACTGTAGGCGAATTCCTCGATAGTAAATCCGGGAACTAAAGAAATGAAGGCTTGCCAGATTTGACTTTTGGACATATAGTAAATTCCTAAAAACCCTATTCGTATTATCCATGACGTACTATCCTATATTTGGAGTCGATTGCTAACTAATATGACAAATATAGAACTATAACTGTTATTTCATCATCTCCTAACTGTCTGTCTGAGTTAAGATACAAATTAATTATTTTTTGCAAATGTTTTTTTTYCTGGATATTTATTTATCAAAACCCACCGCTTTAACAAGACGCCTTATAGGTGTTTACTGGGTTGCCTGTATCATGCACAGATGCCTCGTTGCAATATTAGCCAAAAGATAATGGAATGTTTCACAGAAAATAATGATTTCGTTTAACTTGTCTAAGACGATCTTCTCGCTTAAGGTGTTCTCTACATAATATTAAAATATTTGCAGGTTCTACCCTTTATAGCCTATAAAATAAACAGTTTTGCGTTGTGCCGCACACTGCTTGTGAATTTGATCTTGCGCCATAACGCAACAAGATCAAATATCCCAATGTTCTCAGTCAGAATCATCAATTAATTTTCTTATCTTTTTACCATCCTTTGTTATTATATTATTTACTGGGGTGGCTGTTTATTTTCGTTGTCAGAATATGCAGAAATTGTGCAATAGTACCCAGAAGTCTTCACGGCACCACCTACTAGTCCTTTGCGGACTAATTTAAGATCCATAAGTGCAGTAAATGTTCTTGTCAGAAAACTTTGCCTGGAAATATAGGAAAGCATACTTTACTTTTCGCGAATCAATATTGCTTATATTACTGATAACGTCTGATCGAACTTATACAGGTTTATAAGCAACCGACTAGTAATAAATATTTTTCACTTAAAAGATTGCCTTTATATTGTGGAAGATTTAAATCTAATAAAAAATGTATTAAGAAAAAGAAAATTTTTCTGTGGATATTATGGGATTCGAACTCACCAAAAGAAATTTAAAAAATACGACTCCACTTTGCCATACCCCCGAGACATCCGCAGAGCTGAGGCGTCGTATGGACTTCGGACCTGACGGCGATTAAATCCTTCTGTCCTTGGGTGTACGAATTACGCAAGAAAATGTTCTAGCCGAAACATCAGGGGAGAGACCAGCCGGCCCCCAGACCATATCGGCTAATCCCTTGCATCTCKGCCACGCACGGAATCGGTTGAAAAACTAATGTTAAAAAGTCTAGTCTATCCGGTGCATTGTTTTCAAGGCTATTGTTTTGCTAATTTCTTGAAACCGTGGACCAGTGGACAAAACATTGGCATATCCAAGACATCAAGTCAAGCCCGGTTGAGGAAGGTTAGCAATTGGATGGGTGACCTAAACATTATACCTACTCGCGCTTTTGCTCCTTTTTCCGTTTTTCTTATTTGATTTAAAAAATATTGGATTTAGAATATTTTTGAGTAAGCTATTCCTGTTTACCCAAATCCGTCAAATTGAAATCTAGCTAGCAGAGGAAAATCCTTGGGGAAAAAAAGAAACTGCCATTTAGTATTTTCAATTATAAAATAACTGTTATAAACCTCGCATTTTTATTGGTTGCGTGCTTTATGAGAGCACACAGAACGGTCGCGCACTTTGGCAATTGCGTAACTCCTATCCAAAATAAAGGTCATTGCAATTTGTATTTTATAAAAGAAATAAAAAACTTGCTTGCTGTGCTGTGTGGAGTTATAAAGCACTTGGGGATTGGCAGAACACTCGAGAAGTGTCGAGAAGCACACCGCTACGTATACGTGTCGTGCTTTTCCTAACACTTCTCTCGTGTTCTGCCAACGCCCGCGTGCTTTATAACTGAACAAAGCTTATTTTAGAAATTACATCAACAGAAGGCGTCCCTCTGAAGCGCGTGAAGGAGTTGCATCCCCAGGCATCCCAGTAATCAAGAACTTAACTTTTGCGCATAAAAACGAGGCTAATGCTGACTGGTCAATGGTGTCTCCCAAAACCATCGCCTTTTGTCGTGGCTTTAAAAACAAATTCAGGGGAAAATACACCAAGATTGACTTTTATTATATAACGTCAGTTCGAATAGTTAGTTTAGAGGGTTTGATTCCATGTGTTGTTCTCTCCCTGCCTAATAAATATGAAATTGAGATGAAGAAATAATAGATAATAAATGGAAAAACGATCGCAAAATTATCCTCTTACTTTTGGGAGATGTTGCGCAAAGCTCCATGTCATTTATCTGTCTAAAATACTTTGTTTCAGAAAGTCTATTTCAGTTTTGAGATAACTAACAGAATGAAAAATTCAAGGAATTCTGAAACCGTTAAAATACTTGCACCAATAAAAACTCCCAAAGTTCCGCCGATGACACCCACTAGATTAGACAGCGAATAGGCCGGCTGTTGCTCCATGGTCTCAATGACCATGTCCTCAAAATAAACATTGACTTCAAGGAAGTTGTCTCTGATGAACTGACGAGTCGTGTTCATTTGTTCTGCCATGTGATCTGCGACGTGATTGGCTGGGTACTGAGAGTACGATATCCTAGGTACGTAGTTGTTTTTTTGACATGGTGCTTTACATTTCGAGCACAGTCCTTTACTATTGATTTCCACTATCAGAGGGTTTAGACAATCCCTGTATTTTTGAGGTAGACAGATAGGAATATCTGTTTGAATACCGGCGGGGTACATTTCTCGACATCCACGTCTTTCACCTCCGATCCTGGCCCGGCATTCATAGACACACGCAGTAACGCTGTATTTACTGAACATCTTTAGGTTATCTTGGTCTTCGCATTCTCCGTAAGGCGCGGGAAGGCTTTTAAGACTCTTCAGGGTCAACGGAATCAAAGTCTGCGTCCCCGGTTGTAAAGCGATGACAAATCGATCTGTATTCGGAGGTTCGTGAGCTTCTCGGAAAAGCAATCGGAAACCCGCGCCACTTCGGAGATTTCCGACGTATTCATTTTGTTCTACGTTAAGCACAAGGTGTAAAGCATTGTCAATCCCAGTTCCGGTTATCTTTAAATACTGATTGTAGTTAAACGCGAAACATCCGCCAAGAAAGGTAGGATCTGGTGTAAAATCCGCAGCAGAGCACTGAGCTCCTTTCCACTTACACTGTAACACTAAATCCTTCACTTGATGTCCTGCTTTGAACATTAACTTGTCAAAACTGAAGCCAGTCCAGTTGTACGAGTTCCAGTCTATCGATGACCCTCGTTGGCCAGGTTTGGCTGCGTAAGCCTGGATTACTCTCATATACGGAGAACTCATGGCCCAAGACTTGCGGATTTGATTATTATTACAAAGAGTAATAACGGGAAATGTTAGTTCGCTAGCGTATTCAACTTTGAAGACAGTATTGATTGGATTTCCAAGATAATACTTGATGTTCAGTGAGATTTCATAAAAGCTAAAACTCGCACACGCCAGCACAGCGCAAAACCAAAAAATCCTTCTCGGTGACTGAAAAAACGGTTTCTCTTCCTCGGCAAAGATATTCCCCACTCCATGCATCGTTGTTGAAGTACAAAGCTCTACAAACTTATTCCAAGCTCCTTGTACTTTAGCATCTTGATTTACGTCCGTCTTCTTTGTTTCTTCTCCGTTTTGGAACCAGTTGTTTGTCATAACTTCAACAGCAGTTTCTTGAACGTATTCCTTATTGTTAACCTCAAACTCTAGCCTATGAATTGGATCATCCATTTTTGCTATTTCTCTTGTCGGTGGGCTTAAATCTCGGCAAGCAAGAGAATCTTAAAGCTTTAAACCCTCCAGACCCTGCACAAACCCGACGTACTACGTGTTTGATCAGCATTTGATAGAACGGCTTTTATAATTCTAAGTCGAGGGAGTCACTACTGGGAATCCATTCGTTAAAAATTAAAGAATGTAGATGACCGAAAACCCAACAAAGTGTTGTTTTTAAAAAAACTTTTATAGCACGAAACCATCCAATGTTTTTATTTCTCTAGTAAATTCAGTGCAACTTGGAAGAGGTCTCCGCCAAACTTTGCAGCCTTTTTCTAATTGATACTTGATTTTTTAAAGAGAATATAAATTAAATATATGTCATACAAACTTTTCATCCCAAACGTCTTAATGTTCAAAATAAGTTTTTGAATYCCGATAATGTTTGGCTCACGTAAGCCGTTGCGTAGAGAAGAGCAGTGTTTATATTATGAACAATTGCGTGGAGGCGTGGCGCTAAAAAAAGCGATGGGAGCTTCCATGCTTACTTACTCAAAACAAGTAAAAGAATGCTTCGTAAAAACAAATTTGCAGCTGTTTTCAAACTGAACTATTCAAACTTCATTCTAATTTTCCAAAATCTTTTTGAATGCAGGTTTTTGCAACGGTTCGGTGTGATGTGGAAAACGAAGACGTCAGAAATCTTGAATATTTAAAACTCGGATTATAAACACTAGCTCTTTTTGTTTTGAACGAAAAGTTTTAGTTACTAAATAAAGAATTCGCAACGAAAGGAGTGAATAGGTCTGTGAAAGCGGGAAATCTTGTGTAGGATTTCACGCTGACAAATGAGAACATTCGCTCATGAGGGTGTAAGTAAAACAATGAGATAAAATATCGACAGCGATATGGAACCTTTACGAAAAATATTTTTATAACTTTCACGAATGTCTGATTACGGTTGTCGGATGAAGATTAAAAAAGCTTTTAAGGTTAAAACATAGTTAATAGAGTGGAAATTGTAATTTCAGTAGCGTGTTAGGTTTTGAAGGCGGAAATCGAGGGAGAGACCTGAAATGAATTGAAACTTTCTCTCATCACAGCAGGCAGCCCAAACAAGGTTCCTGTGTATGGTTTATAAGGGAATGTATGGGAGTCATGATGTAGATATGACAATGAAATGTTTCACTCAACAATTTGCCTCAAAACTTACCGCAGTCATTGCTTGAACCTTGTTCAGTATTCTGGCGAAGTTTCTGCGCGTTTTGGGGCCGTTTAGTGGGAGTTTCAAAATTTGCTTTTCTCTACCCATTCTTTTATTGCTATTTCTCTTTTTTATTGATATTTTTTTATTCAATTATTCTTTTTTTTTTTTTTTCCAGCTTCTATCATCTATCATCTCTATCATCCTTGAAAAGCAGCTTCATATTTTTATGAATAAACGGCTTGGATCAGTTCTTCTTTCATGTCATTTATTCTTTCTCTTTTCTTTTGCCTTCTCATCTCAACTTCTGCCTCCAGGAATTCGACAGTTTTCCCAGGTGAGGGAGTGTCATAAAGGCCTTCACCAAGGTCTTGAAGCAGATCATAGTCCGGTTCCCCAGGCTCCACATCTTCGATAGTCTCACGGAGCATTTTGGCCATGGCGACTTGACGTGTCTTGGAAACCTGGGCACAAATTTTTATTTTTTAAGTTTAACATTTAAAATAATTTACTACAGTACTCCGATCAAGAGATTTAACATGAATTTAAAATAGTGGGGTTCATCCTTCCATCCAATCACAGAGCGCGAGAACACTGCTCATCCAATCAAAATAGTCGTAAGGCTGCGATCAAACACAGGCCAACCAATCAAATTGCTTGGCATGTTTCTTTACGTACGTAAGGAACGCGTGACACGCAAAAGACTTTTTGTATGAATCGGACCAATCAAAAAGCAAGATCACGTAAGCCAGCCAAAGTAAGCTTGAATCCGGAACCAAGGTCCGGAACTCAAGTGAATGTTACGTCGCAAAAAAACTTTTGCATACACCATCACGGAACAGCAGCCATGACAGGAGGCAGGAAGAATAAGCCTGAAGCGAGATGACGTTTTACCCCCGTCTCTAGAACACAATCCTTTTCACACTGCTTTTGTTTTTTAATTATGACTATTGTTCCTGTATTCTCTAGGGAATCTTGCGTCATCTCGCTTCAGGCTTAATTGAATCACATAAAGAACCTGACGTTACCTACCTTACAAGCGAACGTATATCTAGCACCAGTGAATCCAGGACTGGGGGGTCGGGCAGAATGTGGTATGATCCCCCTAAATATCACCATACGACCATACCGAGGTCGCACAGATGTCAACCACTCATACTTCTGATGGCCTTTCGGATAGGGGTTGCCATTAGGTTGCATGACTTCTTCGAAGTAGGCTGTCTCCCCGTAATATTCTGCTTTCCAGTCTGGAGTTAAGTACATGAGGACTGTATATTCATCCTGAACCAATTGATAAATAATGATTTATTTATTTTGCTTTGCATTGGGATTTACGTTAGAGGGTCCTGAAAGGGGTGTCCTAATCCCATTTCCCAGCCCAAATTTTAACCAAAATCCCAGTTCAAATCCCATAATCCCAGCTTATCTTTTACCCAGATCTTAATCCCATTCCAATTTTCAATTATTAGTTTTTTGAATCCCATTTCCAGTGCAAGAAATCCCATTTTCCCGGACCAAGAAAAGGTAAATCCCAGCTCCCATCTTGCCCCTTTAGGGCCCTCACGTTAGGGAATGGTCAGAAAGTAAAGGGGAAGGTGGGCTAGGACAAACTAGTGGGCTATTTTTGGAGCCTCAACTAAGGTGTAGGTGATAAGAACAAAAAACTCTCATTTGRGCTAGCTCATCATGCCGTTAATAATAATAAATAAAGATACTTTATCTACTCATTTAATCTGAAATCTTTATATTCAATATGTCAAAACACGAAAGCATCAAAGATACTATTAACGTGTCATTTTTCATTACGTGTTTTAGACAGTAATATTGTTACCTCATGTGGTTCACAGTCTTCGTGAATCCTTGTATAGTGTGAATTTCTGATAATGTTCATGGACACATCGTATGGAAACCAACCCGACTTGCCACTCAAATACTCTACTGTTCTGTTCACCGTCTTCCATAATCTACTCTTAATAAACTTTGATACCTGAAGATAAAGATTTGCATTGTTGGGGATTGTGTCAATGCATGGAAAATGTATGATCATGTCAAATATCATCATCATCATCTTTTCTAGCACCATCAGGAATTACCATCATCATTACTATCATTGTCATCATCACCATCATCATCTGTAGCCTTACCAACATCATCAGCAGCCTTACCATCACTATCATCATCACCATCATCATTGTTATCATCACCACCATCATTATATTTCATCATCACCTACAGCATCATCATCACAACCATCATCATCTTTGTCATCATCATTATCATGCATTTTCCACCACCAAATGCTCACCTTTATTGGTGCAATCCATGACACATTATCATGTTCAGTATCGGCACTCTCATCATACCCCTGATAGGCATATGCACTGTTATAATGAAGCAAGAAAAGGCGCAGAGCATCCAAGTCACCTTTTGGCATAAGATCATCAAAGTACGCCACAACATGGTTTTTACTATCGTAGATCTTTTTCGTTAGATGATCTTCAAAGTTGATCTCTGGGAGAGTCTTTTCATCTGTTAGTGGAAAGTCCATTTCCGAATACTGATCTGTTTTGAATATTTGGTCCTTTGATTAAGAAAAAATAAAAATTGGATCAAAATGGAAACCCCAGGGGGGGGGGGTACTCCCCTATATTTGTTATATGGGTGTGTGCCGCCAAACAGGGTATGGTTTTCAGCGATTTTACTCTGGAACAGGGTACATAAAATCATGCTCTCTCCTCTCTGTAACAGGGTATCTATTTTCACAATACAGGAAGTGGGTATGGTTTTCAGCGATCTTGCTCTGAGACAGGGTATTAATTTCAGCGATTTTACTCTGGAACAGGGTCAGGGTTCAAAGGGCTCAGCAGCACATCCCTACCCTAAACGGACAAGAGTACCACCCCCAGGATGGAAATTAGTATTAAAATTATGAATTTTTTTTATCCTGAGCACTAAAAAAATTTGATTTTAGTTACCTTAGTTTCTTTAGCTCCTACATCCATTTTGTCTTTGTCTGTGGTGAGCTTGATGGTAATACTATATAACCCCTGCAAGTACGACATAGCTGGGGGCTTGTATAAATAAGGTATCGATGCATTCCACATCAGAAGGCGACCAAATTTAGGGAATACAGCTGCCATTGATTCTCCCTTTTGATTGTAGAAGATTGATTCTCCATAGTCATTCTTCTTTACAGATGGTGCCAAGAGTATTCTTGCAACCAGTTCATCCTTGTCGCTACTTTTAGCTGAGAAAATAATGGAATTATTTTTCAACGAAATACAGTATTGGAAAAGTAATGACAAAATTTAATAATAATAATAATAATAGTAAATATCTTTATTGGGTTACTAATAAAGTTAAACTTTTTTCCAATTAGGTAGAGTAAATCAGCTATAGTATAGATCTTTTGCATTGATTTCTTAGAGGAATTGTTCTGGGGGACAAAACAATAGGCCGTTTTTTCTTATGCAAAGATAATCCATTGTTTTGTCCCCCAGAACAATTCCTCTAGAAAATTAATGCAAGGGGTCTATAGTGTCAAAATTGTCTTGACAATAAGTTTGGATCAATAGACCTCCTCGGCTCTGACTTAATGTTTTCCCATTTCAGACCATGTGTCATTCCCTAGAGTATCATTTCTTTGTTTAAGGTTTGCACTCAGTTGCACATGAGAAGACACTTGAATATCTTGATCAAAATAGCAATCATTAACAATAAACAGCTGGTAGGTATAACACTACGTAGGAAGATGTTTTACGCATCACATATGTATATATCCTCCCAATATTACAATGAAAAAATAAAAAACGTGAAAAAAATAAGAAATACATCTTATCAAATAGCTTATATAACTTATATAGATACAGATATCGATTTTATAAAACTGAAAAATTATTCTTTATTGAGCGCACAGTAGTATTCAGTATGGCACAGTTAACTATGAGTATAGTTTGCAAAGCAAGTAAGCTTACAATACATCGATAAAAACAATGTTACATCGACAAAATCTTACCTGGATCTGTAGTAGTAAAGTCTAACCTTCGAACCATCGACACAGAAACTTCACGAGGAAAGTACACCTTTCCACCTGAAATTTTTTCAGAAACTTTTTGAATTTTCCCCCACAAACTTGTCTTGACAAAGAAGTTTGGATCGATAGGTGAAAGCCAGGGAGCATTGATAGTAGAATTAGCTATCTGTATATTGAAGTAATAGTCTTTATAAGCGTACTGCCATGAAGAAACCATCCCTTGAATGTTTCCATACGAGACTAGACCAAGATATGACTGCATTGTCTGTGGCGAGAAGAGGTTGTCAAAAACAAAGACAAAATCTCCATCTTCTTCGAATGTTTGAATTTTGACATCTTTGAAGGAAGGATCGGTGAAAGATATTGCTTCGATGGGGTCTAAGAAGATGATTAGCAGGATAAATGAATAAAACAGACGTAGGATTATCATGATTTCTTCACGATTTGCTTGATCAGTTTTCTCAAAACACGTTAGTTATGTTTTTACATGATTTTTTTACTTGTTTTAAATACCACACAGGAACCCCAGTTGTCCCTGCCATCCAGCTGTTTTGAAAAGCAAAAGCACAGGTAACCCAATTTTATAAATACGCAAAACAGCTTTTTCCAAAAAAAAATTGAAGAAAAAGCTTTTTTGGGAAAATCTAAACACAAAGCTAACTGGAATTCAACAGCTTTGCACCAAGTGGAGTTTTAMAAGCCTTAGAAAAAATGCATTATTTATGGCACTCCTCTGTATGTGGGAACGAAAAAAAATTTCCCGAGTACTTGAGTTCCCTTGACGTGAATCAGTTCTTGTCTTGTGCAGAATGTTCATTAGTTGAAGCAAACGTTTTCAAGTTTTCTTTCTGGCTGGCAGCACATGGTGATTGGTATTTGACCACCATTTAGAGAAGATAATGAGATTCAAAATACTTTTATCAGCTGTTTGAAACCTAAACAATATCTTRCATGTATTTTAAAAGGTACACAGTTGTATGAATCACTATCTTCACAGGTGTAAACTTCTAGGTTCATCACATAGGAATCACTATTCTAATATCCCTTATTTTATATAGTGTTGTGTAATCAACAGATGTTTGTTCTCGTCATTCGTTAGCCTCGTTAGACATCATTACAGCTTTCTCATCCTCATGCATCATCAATGAAGAAACAAAAATCAGTTCAGAAAGATATAATGGACTAATATTAGAAATACTTCTACAAGAACATGAGAAAGTCAAGAAAATGAGGTTTGTTTTAATCTTTTTAGTTTTAACAATTTTGGCATGAAACCAGTGACATCAAATCATATTATTGTACAACAAAAATTTCTTAAATGACCCAAGGCATGCGCACTGATGAGAAAAGCTAAAAACTCAGACATTTTCTATACAATTTGAGCAAAAAAATTATCATAAGTGGAAAAGATACATTGAGATTTTTTTTGAATTACTAGCCTTTTAAATATTTTTCAAACTGTACAGTTAACTTAATATCGAATATAATATTCAAATATTTCATATTTTTCTTAGTATCTCCTTAAACATGAAATTTACCAAAAACCTACGAATCTTATCAATAGCCTAAATAAAAACTTGGGGCTGTTCAAATTCATGGCACAGCCAATTCATGCATAGATTGAATTGGAATTTTGCTTGTTAGATATTTTTACAGGGAGGAAAACCAGAGAACCTGGAGAAATCCCTTGAACTAAGGCTGAGACTTAACAAACTATTCTCATATGCGATGCTGAGTCCAGAATTGAACCCGAGACCCCAGAGTAGGGGAGACTCAAGTGCATACTACTGCTACTCCTCTCTTGATTCCTAATATCTGCCATTAAATAATGTACAGTAAACTCTTAAGTCTTTAATTTTTGAATAAGTCAACCCACTTTCCACATCGTTTTGCCACATCTTCAGCGGTCTCTCCTTGATTATTTGTAATAGTTCTGTCTAATGACTTATTTGTCAGTAAGAATTGAAGGGTTTCACTGCCATCAACACCAAGAGCTGCTAAATGTAGAGGAGTTTGATTTCCATTAGTCTTTGCATTGATATTTGCACCATTTTCAAGGAGGTACACAGCTACATCTTTTTGTCCTAGGGGAAAAAAATTTCAATGGAGGAAATTTTTTATGTGTGTTGTTACAAAATCAAATGAGATCGGAATTCAAATTTTCAAGGGATCAGAAGAGTCTAAGGAGTGTATATTGTGTAGTTCTAGAAAATATTCATATCTCCCTCATTGAGGGGGATTGGAATTTGCAAAGGGGTGAGGAGAACCTCATGGAGGGGGATGGGAATTTTCAAGGGGTGGGGAGGGTCTGATAGTGTGTAGTTCCAGAAAATATCCATACCTCCCCAATAAAGGGGGATTGAAATTTCCAAGGTGTGCGAGGGTCTGAAAAGGATATATTCTGTAGTTTTATAATTCCCGCCAGTGTTTTTTCTGAATTTACAAGGGGTGGAGAGGGTTTGAGAAAGGTATGCTGTGCAGGATATAAGCTCCATAGTGATAAACATGTAACAATTTACCCCATCGGCATGCCGAGTGTAATGGCTCCCAACCATCTATTGTTCTGGCTCCAATATTAGCACCTCTGGACACTAGTAATTCAACGATTTTCAAATGTCCTCCATAAGATGCCCTGTGCAGCGGCGTATACCCATCCTGGTCCTGACACTCATGAAGTGACCCATTCTTGTTGAGTGAATATTCCACAAGATCGAAACGACCTTTCTCTGAGGCCCTCAAAATCAAGTCTTCTGGGTCCATTTCTGAAAGCTTTAACTTTCTTTTTTCTTTTTTCTTTATAAATAAACTTTCATTCACTTCTTCTGTCATCTTCTTAGGAACTCGAACTCTCGCTTCAGGAAGAAAAAGAGTAGGCGAAAGTCGACCACTTAAATCTGACAGACTTGACTCTGAGACTGACATTTCGGAGGAGTCTGAAAGCTCATTTAAAGTCGGTCCAACTTCATGCTTTCTTTCTCCCTTAAGTAATGTTAGTTTGTGAGTGTTTTCATCTTTGATATCTTGTCTTGCTAGTTCTTCTTCTGTTACTTTATCTGACACATCGTTGACTCCAGTAATTACATTCCTTCCTTCATTTTGTGCTGTTTTTTGACTTTCGCTTTCTTTATCTAAATTATCTGGCACTTCATTTGAAGTTTGCTTCACTCCACAGCTCTTTCCTTCCTGCTGCCGAGCTATTTTTTGTCCATTTTCATCTTTAACTTCTTGTCCCTGAACTCCATCGTTGGCAAGACTATCTCCCATTTTAATAAGCTTCCCTAAATGTTAAGCCTTAAATCTTTTTACTCAAACACCTTGGAATTTCCAACTCAAATCGCGTTACTAATAAAAAAAATGTAAACGAAATTACTTGAAAATGCTAAATCAACTAGTTTGATCAAAATCTGTTGAAGAAAAACAGAAAAAAATGTTTTAGTGACAAACTTTCCGTTCGTCGGCCATTTTGATTTATCCCAGAAACCTTCGCGGGTTAATAATAACACAGTATTTCTCGCTCGGAATCATGGGTAAACAGTCCATATTCATAACAATCATAATCTATTGAACATAATAATATCGATCCTGGTTTATATGCCAATATACATTATACACGTATTAGACTATATTAGAGAATGTATCTCTGGATAAAACGACTTTATATTCTTTAAGAATATATTTACTTGGAGTCAAACTGAATATTAAAGGTAAGAGTTTTTAAAATCTTTGTATTGTGCAATATGTTTCTTTGGGCCAAAAGTTCATATACGAAAAGAATGACTAGAAGTTTTTTGAGTAAGATATTATGATGATGAATGATGGATATCGTCTGAAATATCTTACTCAAAATATTTGTATTCCTTTTTTAAACAACCTTGACAACTGTTCGAATGAATAAAAATTCGCTTATTCATTGTTTACTCTTTTAATATAAAGAAAAAATTATTTGAAAGTTTATTTATTTTCATTTAATTTCTCAATTTTTTTGGCTGCTCTCTGTGTTTTCATGATGTATCGCTTACTCCAGCTCTGTCTTTCTCCAAACAAATCATACCACATGACGACCATGCCTTTTGCGATACGCAAGATGACATGATAATTGAAACAGGAACTCAGTGCAATAAATTATATCTTTTGTCATAAACAGGGTCTACAAATTTGAGGTTTTTTGTCATAAATAGAGTACTACTTTCAGAATCCCAGCGGAACACCCTACCTAAATTCTGGCGGAGTACCCCCCCCCCCTGGGAAATGCACGTGGCAAAAGTAATGGCATGGTAATAGAATGGATATTTCTAACTAACAGGCTTAATTTCAATATTCAATCTTAGCCTCGTAGCAACTCTTTGTGGCTTTGTAGTGCTGCTACGCAGGCTATTTGATCCGGGAGTTTGTGATGCCCTGACTGCTTAGATCAGCCTAGAGGTTGTTTCAGGGTATAGATCAAATTTGAAAGTTTAGAAACATAAAAAGAAACCAATCTTCTTATCTTATAGGTTTCATATGAAGGTTTCTAATTATAATCTCCTTATTTTGGGAGCAATATGGTCTACAATCTTCATAACAATACAGAGTGTCCCTAACGGACATTTAGAGCCCCTGGGCTCTCACAGACCAAAGGAGGGCTCTGTGGCATCATTGGATAATGTTCCTTTTCCAAGGGACTTCTATTATAACTATGTTCTCACATCAACGCCAGTGATCTTTAGAGGTGCCGCAAAACTGTCTAAAGGATTTAAGCTATGGAGTGATGGTTATTTAAGGTATGTGTAGTCTAGCTATATCTGTCCCCTTTGAGAGGAATGGCTTTATATATACACAATACACCTCAGATCCTTCACACCCTTGGAAATTCCAGTCTCACTCCATGGGGGAGGTGTTTGGTAATTGTAGATACCAGTATCAATAATACTTTGTTTTCTCAGAGAGCATTATGGAAATGAGATGGTTAGAGTTGATTATGGCAAGAAAGAGAACAGAGACAGGGCTGCTGATGAGATGCCTCTTGCTGAATTCCTCAGCTTCTACAATACATCTGATAGATACTTGATTGACACCTTACCCACAGCAATGTGGAAAGAGTTTTCATTACCAAGGTGTCTGCTCTGTGGTGGGTTTACCGATGCTCTACAGGTCAGTTAACACTTAGAAATATATTCACTAAAAATTATTAGTTTACTGATAACTTTATTTCATCCATGGGTGCATTTTGTCTATGGGTGTGGCTTGCCTATGGGTGTTGCTTGTAAATGGGTGCAGCTTGTCTATGGGTGCAGATGGTCTATGGGTGTGGCTAATCTATGGATGTAATTTGTCTATGGGTGTGGCTTGGTAGTTTCTCTAAAGTAAAGGGATTGTTATTCTGCCACCCAATATGACTACCCAAACACGATTGTACATTACTAGAGCTCTTCTAACCTATATTTTACAACTGGCATCACTCCCTGTATGGGGCTCTTCTGTGAGGTTTGCTCCACAYGCACTACCACTACCATTACTTGTGTTTCATTTTTCAGGATTCTGTGTTATGGTTCAGCAGTGGAGGTACCAAGTCTCACCTTCATAATGACAAAGTAGAAAACATCAACTGCCTTCTGAGTGGAGAAAAAACATGGTTCTTTGTTGATGCTGTAAGTAGTACCATAGTATTATACCTTCTCACCTTGTAATAGAGGATGGCTGAGCCAGGGGGGATTAAATCTTATATTTTGTTTTAGTTTGAGTTCAGACCACATGACAAAAATTAAATAATAGAAAAAGATTCTCACCCTCCCCCCCC